ATGTAAATTTCGGAAGTTCAACGATGATACGAAAACAGAAATGTGTGTTTTTCTCTCTCGGTGTGTGTGTGTGTGTTCTCGGTTGGTTTTCGTTCAGCAAATTCCACCACATCTACCATTTTGATTACCCACACAATATTTGACCGAACGAGCTAACAACAGTAATCACCCATTTCCCATGAACATACCGAAAAAAAACATCGTGTAGTTCAGGTTTTCGGGCGAATAACCAATACAAACGAAAGCACCGTCTAGCTGTTTACTACGCTCCGGTTGGCGCTTACATTTAATGTATGCAACAAATGAAATATCCACCGACATACACCGAAATGGAAACCGGCATGATTGGCCGTCTCAATGACATGTTATGCAATTCATTTCTTTCATTGATGTGTTGCCGCTGCCACCAAAGAAACACCACACACAAGCCACCACAGACATCTATGCTATATTAACCTTTCTCATGACTTATGCCATTTCATACGCCGTCATTTATCAGGTTGCTCTTCAAAATAACGGAATATTTGCAAGTGCATATGTTCTGCCTTAATTTGACATTGGACCAATGAATATTGGACGCATAATTTTTCTTGCATCTTTTTCGGTTCAAAACCAGTCTAAGGATCAGAGCCGCTCAGTCGAATAGAGTCGCTGAAATTAAAATTGAAAATTGCGTTCTTATCAATTCTTGCCGGGTATACTTAGGTAAAATAACTCGGTTGTATCCAAAGTTTGATGGAGTCCATTTTCAACTCATTTTCTCAACAAAACATTTGGACAGATATTTTGAAACGAGCTGACCGAAGCGCAGCCATCTGGCTAGTGTGTGTGGAAATAAAATGACTAACAGTCACTCAATTATATGTAGCTGCAAACAACTAAGACTAAATTGATTAAATTTAAAAAATTTGTATAGAAACGAAGCGTTTCTTTCAGCCAGATGATCAATTTCGGACATTTCAACTGAAGAATCTGCAGTGAAGATTAACTATCAGGCTACTATATCTGAAGCGGACTACATTCGTATATTTTGTTCGACATAATCAATTTGAGTCATTTATTACCCAGCTTAAAGTCCGAAATTGGCTGGCTTTTGGATTTGGATTTTAGATTGAGTTGATTGGCTGGCTGGCTGGCTTCCCAGTCAAAAAAAAATTCCACACGTGCAAGTCTACGACAGCAATAAAAATTGCAAAAACGAATCTATTTTACAAATTAATCTCTTATTATACTTGGTGTCTCGCCTCGTTTCGCTCGGTTTCGGAGCTAAATTAGTGATAATACATTGGATTGATCAATACATCTCCATTTTCATTACATTTGCTGCTATCGAATCAACGCTCAACGGTTTATTTCATTCAAATGCATATTCAATCGTTTCCATTTACTTTTAGTCTATTTCCTCTTATCCCAACGAATAAAATGTTTTTCATTTTGTTTCCTGGGCCAGAAATCCTGACTTTGAACTTGTCTCAACGATAGAACCAAATTGATAAACAAATCCGAGCAAATAATGTACCAAAGTCGACAACATTGCCGATTTTCGTTGATGAATAAATTGATGCAACACACTTTTATATATACATTATCCAATTGTGAATCAAAATTACAATATTATCGTCAAAACAATGAAATGTTTACGAGGCCCACGTATTCATTATGCTTCATTTTCCAAGTAAATGTTTATTTCCAAAACTGGATTAATTAAGACATTATCTCAAATGAAATCAGATATAAATAGCGATAAAATTTAATCAAACATCACTGAGTGTGTGTGTGTGTTTGATTCACTGTGTTTCGGTTAGCCTACGGATATTTATGTATGGAAATTCATTCAAATTATAGCAAAATTCGTTTCGAACCGAGCGATTCATTCACAAGCAGCAAATTCGAGACAATTCCATGGGTTATTTATGTCGCAAAATGGCGATTATAATTCATCCAATTGATTTGGATTTTCCATGAGCGATTTTCTATTTCGGCCGTTTGAATGGGCAATTTCTTATGTTGCACCGTTTGAATGAGCCAATTTCTTTTTGATCATTTTTTTTTTACATACGAATTTCAAAAGGTCATTTCCTTCAATAAGAAAATCGTTGACTAGACAAATCCATTTTTTCAATCAGAGCTAATTTTAAACCATTTGTCCAACTTTAACTTGGAGATAATTTCTGAACACACCTGAAGTCTCTTAAGTCAGTTTCAAAATTACCATAACCACCACTAGTAAACATATTCAAGTGTTTACCTCAAAACCAGATGCATGGCTTTCATTCATAATTACAGGCCTTTTTGTTCTCATTCGTCTTGAAACTCAATTCAGGCCAGAAAACAAAGCGAAAACTTTTCATCTCAAAACTACTTCAAACGAGAATTGAATTGTCGTGCAGTCAATTTTGGTCGTGATATTCCAGATGTTATGATCGTGTGTCAAAGTTTTAATTACTCATAAATTTCGCCAAACTATTCTACAAGTTTTCGCCCATTTCTCTGTCTTTCTTAATTTTATTTTTTGTTGAGATGGCATTTTTTCTCTCTCTTTCGCTCTCCCTTGTCCTATTTCCTTTTCTATCCTTCTCTCTCTTTCCTTGCTCTCTCTCCTTCTTTTCTCTCCTTTTGCTTCATTTTTTCTCAATTTCGAAATTAGAAACGAATTTGTCGACTTTTTCTGTGAAGATCGTTAACATCTTTGGGCAATAAAAAGCAAAAACAAAAACAAAAACCGTAATAATGTCGGAAATTAACATGAGAATAAATTGGTTTTTATGTTAATGCCATTACGGAAGGAAATCCATAAAATTTCCTTGAGAAAAGTCCAATAAAAAGCGTGGACAGATTTGTGTTGTGTTTTATTGGCATCATCCATTCGGGTTTTGGTTGGAGATGATTTGATTTATATCATAACTGTGTGGATGTTTTTTTTTTCATTTGTCAATCCCCGGTATGATTATAATCATCAGTCATCATCGCGATTCATTAAGTGTATGATTCATGGGTGCTTGGTTGAGACGGAATTGGAATGAGGTTTCTGTTACAAATGCAGCACAAATGGAAAATTTCTGTGCAAGATTTCAATTTGAGGTTGCATTACAGCTTCAAACAAATAAGTCATTCGCGGTGACCTGATGACCACACTCACAAAATCTGAGCATAAAAACGTAATCTGATTAGAGGATGCGTGTTTGTGACCAATAATATTATGATGATGGTGATTGTATGTCATCTAACAAGGGCAACAGAATCAGATGAAGAACATCGGTTTTTTTTTCTTCTGTTTGTTAAATATTCCAATTTTCATGCAAGAAAAAAATGACGAGCAATTTGTTTGAATGGATGTGCCATCAATAAGATTCATCATTTGTCGTGGTATATGTCAACCGGTCTGATGCTATTACATTGCACCATCATCCACAACACAGCACAAAAGACTGGCCATAAAATGGCAAGAAATCCAGTCACCATTTAAACGAAAACAAAACAACCGACGAACAAATGCTTGGAATGCTTGGCTTAACGAAAATCTGTATTGCGAATCATACATGTACCTATACTATACATTCGACCAATTTCCATTTTTTTTTCGAAGCTCCTTGTGTAGCTTAGTCTCGTCATTCATCTCGTGATGCACATAGAGAAAAGAAAATACACCGAATAATATCACTTTTTTTCTGTGGGTTTGCTTGTATGTCTTTCATTCTTTTGTCTCTATTCGACCGTAATAGTTCGATTGCAAATACCAATCTAATACCTATATAATGTTTCTATGACAACAACGATGTGTGTGGCAGCGATAAGGCCCAAGAGCGATATGACAACCACGAATTTTTTTGTCGCCCTTCAAAAACCAACCTAGAATAACCAACAACAACAACGAAAAATATGTCTATTTTCATACGTTTACTGTTTGTGTTTATGTCTGGCTTTATGCACTATAGAATAGCCGAGGCTTTTTTAGGTATTGGCCGCGGTTTGTTAGCAGTATATCTATTTCGAGCCGTATACAGAAAACCAATCGTTAAGCTATTACCGTCGATTCATTTTCTATGTCAGCGTCTCTGACTATGATTCTGTCTCTTTCCCATGCTCTTTACCTTGCTCTCTCTCTATCTCCTGTTCTCTACCTCCCCCTCTTTTTTTTCCTCCCTCTTTTTTCTACCTTTTTCGGCGAATGATGGATGGTTGTCGAAAAGACGATGAAAAGCCACCGCCAAAGAGATGAAAAAGACAGAAAAAAAACGTCATTTTTGTGAATGTGAATGATTTTGTTTTTATTGTGTTAACACACAATTGTCAGATTCGATCTAAACGAATTTATGTGTATGTGCTTTTTTCTTTTTGCCATGCAAACGTTGAATTGTGTGCGCTGATTTACGGTGTTTTCTCCGAAAGTGGATGATGAAATAATGTTGTTTCGTGGAAATTGGATTTGTTACCGAAGAAAATCCTCGCATTTATCGCCAGCCAGCCGAAATATTTTCGCTCTCCGTCTTTCTCTCTTTCTTTCTGTTTTTATCTTTCGATCGGTAGGCTGTGTGAATGATGAGTTTCCGTGTTAATCATACTCATCTTCCTAATTCGGAAGTTGGCGTACGCGCGCAAGTGAGCAGCTCAAACGGCATTTTATCGTATATTGAAAAAGCATTTACTGTTGTCATTGTACGAATGACGGTTGTTTCCTTTGAAAATAAAAAATAAACAATCTCTTTTCAATCTTATCATGATTTCAGTTTCGATATCTCTCCTTTGCTCAATATTTTTTTTTTTTCGTTTTACCATCCATTTTATCCTACCTATGCGTGTACAGCATTTACTCCGGAAATTTGAACACCGTACTCTGTTTTTTTCGTGTGCCTCATCTCATTTTGTCGGTGTGTCTTTATCATCTGTGTACTGTTCGTCTGTCACAATTTATTGTTATACTCTCTCTAGGCTTTTTTCTACCTTCTGTTCATTATAAAGGGTAAATATTAAGCGCTTATGGTTGTCCATTTTTATTACAGACCCATTCAGTGTGGCGACGATAGAAAACAGTGAGCTCATCCCATCGGATGTTTTTCAAAAATTAAACGAGAGTGTAGAGTTACAATGTATGCTCACTGCCGAACTTGAAAAGCATAACGAGGTAAATATCAGCATAATTTTATTTAAAACTCACTTCCGTCCGCTTGGGTTGTGTTTTTTTCTTCTTCTTCTTTTCGGATTTGTTTCAAGTATCCTAGATTATTATCGTTTGTGATAGCCCGTTTTTTTTCTCGTTCTCTTTTTTCTGGGGCTCTAGAGACACAGGAAAAATTACCATAATTTCCTTAATGAACTTTTATTGCGCCAAAGAACTTTTTTTCCTTTGGATAGTTCAAGAAGAGTGTTGTGGAATTGGCACGCCGTGCTTTCTCTCCATTTAATTTTTTGCTGTTTGCTCTCTCTCTCCTCGCTCTTTCATTTAGGATAATTCGATATATTGTTTAACACATTACGATTCGATACTATGCTGGCCGCGGACGCTGCGTGGTACACTTGCCTACTTACCTTGCCTCGCCGAATTCAAAGGAGTACATTACGACATTACAAGTAAGCAACAAAATCAATTAACCCCCTTCAGTGAAGACATAATAAATTGCGCAACTTTTTACTCCATTCTTACACTTCTTTTTTCTCTTTTCCTTTCTTTCTCAATTTTTTTTCTTTCTTTCTTTATTTCTTTCTTTGCACCACACACCATTTGTATCATTTTCCGAACTCACTATACACAGAGAATGCATCGCGGAGGTGCCATGCCGACGGAAGATGGGATAATTACACATCATACGATGCTTGCCTCGATGTTCCTGGTGCAACTGCTGTTTCGGAATTCGAACCAGGAATCGAACTACCAACGATTGTCTACTATACCGGATACACGATTAGCTTAGTGTCGCTTACTTTAGCCGTAGCTGTTTTTCTTTATTTCAAGTAATTACAACAGATTTTCAGAATTTAGAGACACCATTCAGAACAGATGGTGGAAATTATGTCTGTGCAACAATTAATCAACGCAGAGACGTAACCAGTAAAAGCTTAAGAGAACTAGTTTTTTGCATTGAAAATACCGTATTGCTAATGATGTCATGGAATAATCAATTTATTCCATTAAGAGAGAAATGGGATTAAGGAAGAAATGGGATGAAGAATGGAATTATTGAGGAAAAAAATATACTTTCCACTGTCTTCTAACCGTTAATTGCAATTGGAGTCAATATTCACTGAGTGTCCTTGTGCAAATTTTTTGACTTTGGTGACTTGATTGATGGAGAAAAATGATTAAGTGACTAAAAATCACATTTCTTCATACAATTTATGAGTGGATGAGACAATTGAATATAGATGGCTGACTATTCAGAGACATTAGTCAACATATACATTTTGCACGGCACTGTATATACGTACTGTTATTGGAATTTCAATCAAAAAACAGTCATAGTCAATACATTTGACTGACTAAACCGGTGAATTTGATTGAATTTGTTAAAAGTTTATTATTTGGTTTCTTCATGCTTACATATAGTTGTACAATGATTGAGATTTACTAATTTAAATGACTTTACAATTTATGACCACACTATACACGGAACAATATAAAGATTTGTTTCTTTCATCATTACATGTTATGGTATATAAATAATTTACCAGTCCATATATGTACATTTTTAGGACCAAAAATAAATCGGTTGAAATCGATTGGAATTCCAATCACAATACGCACAAAAAGTCCTGTCAAAATGTCCTAAAATAGACTATCTCCAATCGATTTCAATCAAAATTGAAAAAATTCAATCAAATTGACCAGTTTAGTCAGCCAAATGTATTAATTATGACTGTCTGACTATATATAGTCTATTATTATAAGCCTATCGGCTGACTAGTTCTTTTTACTCAACAGAAATTTGTATGAAACATATTTGGACATTCATTTGTTCAACCATTTGATTGAAATTTTTGTCTAAAAAATGAAAAGAAAATTTTCTTTGGAACATTTCTCTTTAGCTCCAATGGCTAAAACTGAATCAAAATCTGCTGAAAATCACATCCGGCAACAGCGAACGTGACTCACTGTTGTATAAAAATTCCCTTGAAAAGTGTGTTTATACAAATTGCCCATGGGCAGAAATTAACCCATTGAGTGATGAACGTCGAAAAAAGACCAATACTCGTTGTAAGTGTCTCCATCATGCATCTCCAATTGAAAAGCTCCCTGGTTACGTTTCTGCTGCGACGAAACCGAATCCCCTTCCAAATAAAAATGTATATAAAATTGTGCTGTCATTCTCGATTCGTTTGTTTACAGAGATCTTCGATGTTTACGAAATACGATACATGCGAATTTATTTATAACGCACATTTTATCAGCTCTCCTGTGGATACTAACGCTATCGCTTCAGGTATGAAAATCCGGGTGGAAAAAAAAACATCATTCATTTCATTTCCATTTCCAAGTGGAATGGTCGCTTTCATTCGGTGCTGGTTTCGCTGTTAAAATGTTATTTATTGCTATGAATTTATGTGAAAAAGTTATGATTAAAAATCGTGCTCTCGCTCGACAAATGTACATATATATTCAAAGTGTAATTGAATCGAAACAGGGAAATGCGCGTTGCGCTCTAGCAAAGCAGCAGCAGAAAAAAAAACGAAGCAAAAAAAATTTGGTTCAACGGAATAACAAACAACTTCTCTAGTTGAAAAGTTTCAGGTGCACTAGCACGTATACATAATAATTTGACATTTATATAGACAGAAATCTTAGCATATTTTCCGAATTTTCCCATAAATTTGTTGGGTCGACGTAACAGCTCAGCAATATGCTTAATATCGACTAGACCATGCCGCTCACAATTCGTTTTCATTTTTAATATATTTGCCTTACTGACATTTACTTTTCCCATTTACATCGTTTCACAGATTGAAGGTCGGCCTGGACGAGCTGGTTGCGTTTTACTTGTTACATTTTTTCACTACTTTAGCTTAACCAACTTCTTTTGGATGTTAGTTGAAGGTAGGTTGCAGAAAAAAAAGTGGCCAAAACACACACACACACACAAATTACTACGTAATAAGCTGAAAGACTCACTTTTATTACGCTATTTTATGAGTGTGTCGGAAAGATTGAATGTGGCAGCGGAGGGTGTGGGTGTAAGAGAAAACAGAATCAAAACGTTACCATTCACGTTTGGATGGTAATTTTCATTTTCTCTTGATATAATTGTCGCTGTTGACTCTCCCTCCGACCATCACACAAATAAAATGCAGACTATCCAAGCTGCTGAGTTGTAAAAACAATTTCTCGCACACATACACACAGACTGAGAGAGAAACAGCAAATATAAATCATATTTCATATTTTGCCTAAGGACTCGTCGTGTGTTTTTTTTTGCCTTATAACTTGATAATGTATTTCTTTATTTCTTTCTCTCCCATTTTTCCACGGTATCACTTACCATTGTTAATATTTTTCGCGTGCACGCCAAAGGACTCTACCTGTACATGCTTGTAGTGGAAACATTTTCCGGTGATAATCTTAAATTTAATATGTACGCATTAATTGGATGGGGTAAGTTGTATATTTCATTTTTCTTCTGATTCTCTTTTAAAAGCATGATGAAGATTTGCTACTGCCACAAAGTTGAAGACCGTGCACAGTTAAATTCGTCATCATATTTGTGTTTGACGAAATAAATCTGCTTTTCATTTAACCGTAAAAAAAAACGAAAGACGACAGAAAAAAAAACACACGAAAAAAAAACTCATCATTCGAGTTGAGTTGATTTACGGTTGTACACCTTTGAAGGAGGAGACACTCTGCTGGAGAGAGAGAGAATCGTCTTTTATAAAGAGAAATCGCTCGAAACAAACACACACACAAAAGCATCGTCATTTTAAGCCCGACTATATAAATTCCATTGAATCGGCATTTCATGGTCTTAAATTACTTGATTCTGTTTCGCTTGTCGTTGGCATACAATTTTCCTCAATTACATGATTTCCATCAACTCTTTTAGTTGCTCAACGGTGTGTTCCGTGTGTATGTATGCATTCCATATTCAAAATCTTCTGAAAATGATTTTACAAAACGGATTGCCCCCTACCATTCGAATTGAAATAGCAGCAACATGAAAAATGAATATGGATTATGATAAGTTGACTTATCGCAACAATTTCCGACCGTCATCGAAAATCAAAGAAACACTGAACAGTATTGAAGTAGAACCCATGCCGTATATTTATATGAGAAATATAAAAATAGAAACAAAAACAAATCACATCAATACGTGGGGAACGTGTTCTCTCGCTCTCTCCGCTTCTCCATCTACCTTCCGTAGGTGGATCAGAGCACGAATTTCCAGTGAAAATGTATCGAATGCGAAAATGCAACGTAAAAATGGTTTTTGCGGGAAAAAAAAAACTTTTTAAGTTAAACAACAAACCAATTAGAAATGTTGTATTCGGATAGTATGGCATGATGCGCATCTGTTACATCGCGTGCCACGGATATGAGAGTCCATTTCCGAGCATACAGTTGTGTATATGTGTAGCGAAGTGGGAGGATTAAAACAGAGAGTTGAGTAGCGGAGATGGAGACACACAGAGCGAATATGTAGAGTAATTTTGTTTTTCATCATTCACGAACGTTTCATGAACATATCAAACTTTTTGCAAACAACAACAACAAAACATCATGTATTCTTTTCTTGATGTGTTTGTTGTCGTTGTTCTCCTTCCAAGTTGCAAAAGAATTTGCTACCTTTCATGTCTGTCGAAAGCGACAGTGAACGATGACTATGTGTGTGTGTGTGTGTATATCAAGCACATATGATACACAGTTTTCAATCGAAAGTTGTTGTTTAACAAAACATTCGAACGGATGAATTTACATCGACCATTTTACGAGTGGCAGCGCGGCAGGAGGTGGAGCAGGAGGATGAGGGACTAGAATTGGGTTTAGATGAAATAATAAGCTTTCATATTCAATTTTGTGTTGTAATAATTCAAGTTGTTTGCATCCATTGATGCGTGTACATTTCAACCCATTGTTCAGCGTGTGAATTTGTCGAAACGGAGAGGTCTAGTCACCGAATATCAGAGAGAAAGAAACGGTGAAACAAAAAACGGAGTCTATACTCTAGTAATAGATCGATTCAGTAAAGTTGAGCGTCAAAAATAAAAAAAACGTGAGCCGTTCGGTCGTCAGGCGTGAAAGGAGAAAATTTTCGGTCGAGAGGCGTAAAATTAATCGATGAGTTTTGATCATAAGTTTGAGTGAATTCGAGCGGAAAATGAGCCGAACGAAATTTTATCGCCGAATTCCATAATGGAACAATGTTCCATAGAACCATAGACGAAAAAAAAATTCGCATTGTTCACCTACGCCAATGTATATGAAATCTATCTACAGAGTCTGTTTATATGGTTGATGTGTGTCTCATTTCCGAAATGCTTGTTGGTTTGACATTTTGCCATAATGTGCATTGACGGTGACGGCAACGACGAACGATGAATATGGCGGTGGCGTCATCCGATTTATGAGCTATTTTTTTTGATTGATTTTCACATTTTTCATTAACTTTTCATTTGATACTGATGTCATTTTTCAAATTTTAACCCGACGAAAAAAAAAACAGGTGGACCGGCCGTTTTCGTGCTGAGCTGGGCGATTATCAAAGCCTTTGCTGTCGAAACGAAAAATTTGACTGTCGATGGTGTAAGTATATTCTTCTTTTTTTGTTCCTTCTGCTTTTCTTCCGACGAAGCGATATATTTCTTATTTCAGTGCCCGAGCCGATAATAAATATTATGTGTTCGGAGCTCTTCATCACACTTCAACCATTCAGTTTATTGGTTGTGTTGATTCAGAGAGGGAGTGAGGGAGATTTCTTGCACATTGTTATTCAAAGAGTAGCCTTCGCATAACATGACCCAACAAATCTTCGCTTCTTTTGCATGTTATTTTTCTTCATTTGAGGCGATTTTTTTTCGCTCGCTCGCTCGCTCTATCGAGAAAGAGAGAGAAAGATAGAGTTCTCTCTCTGGCTTGCTAGAGATAGAGTTCTCTCTCTTTCTTGCTAGAGATAGAGAGAGAGAGAGAGAGCTATCTCTTTCTTTTTCTCTCTCTTCATTCTTTCTATTGGGTTCGGTTGAAGTTCATTGTTACACTAAGGTCTCATCATCACACATCCACTCATTCACTCACTCACTCTCACACATATACGGGGTCATGCTGTGATAATTTTGACTAGACGAAACATCGGCTCGAATATTGAGTCCGTAATAAATGTAATACATCTATCAGTATGTGCAGCGAGCGGTTGTGCGTGCAAAACGAAGCGAAGCGAACGGAAAAAGAACAAGTGAATCATTGAGCCAATGGCTCACACGCACTCTCACACTGCGTAACGTATCAATAAACAAACAATAACAATGTATCAAAAACTTTTCCAAACAATTAAATGAGCTGAATGAAGTTGTGTATTCGTTGATTCGCATCTATCCAGCATCGCATGATATGCGATGAGTGTGAGTGTTGTTGGCCATACACAATTTTATGTGTGTGATGAGAGCGCACGCTAGCAGTGTAGGCAAAAGAGTGCGGTCACACACACACACACACACACACATACATAGTAGATGGTCCTAAGCGCTCTGGTATCAGTCATCCTGAATATAATCACTTATCTGTACGCTTGGCTCGTAGACAACATTGATATGCGAATCAATGATGATGATGATGCTGTCGAAAAATCGACAAGGTATTCTTTTTGCCTGAGATCGTGCTTGAGTGACGTTTTATTTTGGTTTCTTCCTTCTTCTTTTTTTTTCTTCTTCTTCACGTGATGTGTTTTTCGCGTGCGTTCGGAATTCAATAAGTCATTCAGTATGTTTGACATTTTCTCATCGTACTTTTTTCTCTCTCTCTCTCCTTCTTCTTGTTCTTTTCTCAACTTTTTTTCCTCTTCTCTTTTGTCGTTTCGTTCTTTGGTTGGCAAATGTTGTTACCAATGAATGAAATTGAAATATCATTTCAATTTTCGACAGGAAGTGGAAAGATTGAATGGGAATGAGGGTGAGCTTGAGAGAATCAAAGAAGAACTAAGCCACTTTCTTATCTTGTTTATTTAAGCGAACGCGCGAGCGGTGTCATTCTCTCTCTCTCTCTCTCTCTCTCTCTCTCTCTCTCTCGTTCCCTGTCGCGTTCATTCTTTTCTTCCTTTCAAAACATTTTCACAGAAATTGATTTGATGCGTCTTGAAATGATCGAAAAGTTTATTGTAACTGAGCTTATTAAATGATTTAATAACAGAAAACGAGAGAATAAAGATATGGCTGAACCATTCTCTTGTCCACACTCACTTAGTGGAGACAGATATCACTCACTCCATATCTCACTCAATCCCACTCTCTTTCTCTCTTCATCCAAAACGAAATCGACATGATACTGTCGAATTGTCGATGAGGCGCTCAAAGTGTTGCGTTGACGAATAATATAGTGTGCGGCGAAATAGAAAAACACGCAAATGAAGAGAAAAACACCAAAGACGACCACAGTAGTTCGTAGGCTCTTCCAAAAAGTGAGAGAGAAAAAGAAACAAAGTGAGAACGAGAGAACGAAATACAAAAGAAGGAAAGAGATAGCGAAAGTTACAGAATAAGGAAAAGATGTATGAAGAAAGTTGTCGATAGAACAAGGGCAAAAAAAAACGAATCGTAATTGTTTGCCATTCAAGTGGAGAGCGGGCGAAAAAGTTTGTTCCAAGTAATATTAATATTCGTATTGTGCGATGAAATACATGAATCCAGTTGTAATTCACTTGATTAGGAGAATAATTCCTTTATTCGGTTGTTGGAGAGGGTTGACGTGTGGGCCCTTTCCATGGCCATAGCTCGGCCGTTGGAAACAGTGTGCAAAAGGAAACGAATGAACGAACGAACGGCGTAGGAATGATGTACTGTATCCGAATGGAAAATCCCTCAAGTGTCATAGTGATAGAATTGTGATAGTTTTGTTATATTGAACTGGTGACACAATAGCCTGCTGGTGCGACAGCAAATTTGAGACGTAAATCCAATCGAAATAAATCTATTTTCAAATGAATTGGATTATATTCGCAGGTCCCAAAAACTTTTCTTCCATTTACAACATTTATTATCGAAACAGCCATTGCCATGACATTTTATCATAGTTTTCTTTTTTGTGTTTCCAACTAAAAAATCCAGCGAAAACTCGGCAATATTTTTAGAATATATGAATTTTTTTATCACAATTGCAATCATATTCAACTTTTTTTTGTTGCAAACCGATTGAATGCGATCGAAATTGAATGTTGTAGTTTAGTGGAAATGCTGACGTAAATGTGTGATATTTTTGGTCCACATTTGGACACATAAAAGCTGTCACTACATTCAATTAATTTTGCGCCGGTGTATTTTTGGCGTGCTTTTCATAATCATAAACGCAGACACACACACACACACACAATAGTGTGATAAAATAGTCGCCTGTTCGTCCAACTAGTGTTTAACGATGACTATGAGACTTTATTCAATTTATCACCATAACTCCGAACCGTATATACCCAACTAACGACCAATCCAACTAGAGCGCAATAACACCGTAAATTTCGGTGGACACCGCGCGAATACATTGGCATAAGCGGAAAATTCAATCTTTTTTTTATTAGATATGCTATCGATAAGTTCACGGTGACTATGGCGTGCGTTTTTTTTTATAGCGTCATTCGGTAACTGAGATAAATGGCCAAACATTTCCGTTGAACATTTTTCTTTCCGACAACAACTGAGTCACTGTGACTTATACAAATGTTACCGTACGAATTGAAATGAAAGTGATATTGATTATGGTCAGTAGATTATAAGTGTACACTTGCGATTTAATTGAATTATATTTGCTATGTTGAGGGAGGGTCACATCTGGCGGAGAAAGGCGTGATTTTGATTGCAGCTTTGGTTGAAGTTTTTTGTTTTCTGCGCGAAAAACCAACAACATTGAAGTCAAAGTACAATTTTATGACATGCAATTTGATGTAGTGTTGAATTGTATGAGTTCATTGCAAAATTGCAATAAAACTATTAGCCCAACAAAACGTGCATACTGTACACAGCACACATACAGAGGTGATTCAACCACTGTCAACAATTTTCATTGCAATGTAATATTTATTAATTTCATAAATAGTTTTGGGTCGATGGGAAAGTTTTTGAGCTGAGCGAAGCTGACCTGAACAGCGACCGCATTTATCATAATAAAATTTAATGCAATGACGATGAACAAGTTGGGCAGAGAGAAAGAGAAACAGACAGATAGAGAGATAGACACACGGAGAGAGACACACACAGAGAGAAACAGAGAGAAACAGAGAGAAAAAAAACGAAAAATGCCAGAAAAAAATGCATATAAATTCAATCGTACATACATCGAAACAACTGCTCAACAATTCCGCAGCATGATGGCGAATGAACACAAAAAGCAACTCGCATTCAATTCAAAAACTTTGACTTGTATTTCGTGATGCGCAACTTTTTTTCTGACTCTCTCGCTCGTTGGTTGTCGCGCTGTATAGTACTTGCTTCATTGGATGCGAACATAGATACAAATGACGATCGGAATATTCAATCCGCTTATAGAGAGAGACGGAGTGGAAGAGAGAGAGAGAGAGAGAGAGAGAGAGAGAAGAGATGAGAAGAGGTGAAGAGAGTGCGAAAAAGAATGAGAATGAAGAATAGGGAGAGGGACATGGAGTGTCAGAGTGAGAGTCAGCGGGAAAGTGAGGATGAAAATTGAGAGACCAAATGGTGAAGCCAAGATCACGAACAAAAAAGAGGTCCAAAAGGCCATGAAACGAGCGAGCAACTATTTAATAACAGTAGCCCAAAAAAGTGAGGTATTGCCGAATCAATGACACAAAATGTACGGCACATAAACACCCACATAAAAAAAACTGCACGCATTTTGCCTTGTTCTGTTAATAAATCATGTTTTGCCCGGGCGGCGGGGCATATTTTTCGTCATGTCAACCGGTTCGCAAATAAACGTGAACGTAATTTAAAAGTGATAGTGCATGTGAGGATCAGACGCCGTTACGGCACTGCCATCACTGCCGTAATGGTTGCCATTCAACGAATTACGCAAATATGTTTGAAGAAGGAGAGCGAAGGCAGCGGTAGAGGGTGAGCTTTTGCTCTGAAGAGGAAAATTGAAAGTGAAAGCGAAATCGAGAGAGAGAGAGAGAGAGAGAGAGAGAAAGAGAGTGAGTGAGAGCTGAGGAAGCAAAGGAAAAATGGAAAGGCTCTAAACTCGAACGAGTTACATCATATTTTCTTTGGAATTTTCAGCCGATTTTTTTTAATCGACATTTCGTCTTTCCATCCACACCGACATTAAAAGCGATCTGTCGACGGTTCTCAATAAAAGTCGAGTAAAAACAGCGCTCAATAAAAATGCGGTGCTCATAATAATTTGTGATTGAGCATTTCGTGGAATTTTACGACTCAACTCATAAAATTGAAGGAATTTCTGTTGAAATAATTTCATTTGACAAGTTGCCATTAGGATCAATTATTCAAAAAATTCACCCATTTACATCGCAATTTTCCGTCAACCATTTGCATTTCTTGGGCATTTTTGCGTCGCTCGTTCTAATAATAACAACAGGGTGTAGAAAAAAAAAACGATTCGACTCATTTTGTGTTTTAAAAAAAAAGAGAAATGCTTCATTCTTGATTACCGTCCACACTGGTGAAGGATTTTAATCGATTTGAGCCTGAAATTGAAGGTCTTTATTAAAAATTCATTTACAAGAATCGATTCTGTTGTCCATCCGTCTCCCACCCAATTCTATTTTGGCCAATGATGGAATGTGTGTTCAACTCGTTCAACCGAATTGATGTGCCAAGAACAATTCATTCTCTCTCCATCGAATCGAATTATCCCAAAAAGCTCATGTTTATTTTACGTGATTTTCAATTATCGTTGAATTACCCAACGGAGTATTTGTGGTTTTGTGTTTGGATTGTGGTTTTGGTGCGGTCCTCTTGGATTCCGAACCCAAGTTCATTGTCAATTGTGTGTACGACAAGCAAAAGAGTTAGGGGAAAAAACAAGTCCGTCACATCATCTTAAATCAAAAAACCGAGCGCAAAACACATTTTGTTTACCAAGCAAATGACTATGGAAAGCTCTGGAGAGAATGAAGAAGATGACGAAGAAGAAGAGCTGGTTGAAAGTAGAGCCGCGTCCATTTCATATGAATAATGAAATAATGACGGGATTCATTGGGCCAAACACACACAAACACATAAGAGAAAAAAGGAACGAAATCTCCATTGTGACATGGCATATTTTGGCTAGAAAGCTACAATCATGAAAATCCATTCAATTTTTTTTTTCCTGTCTCTCTCTTCGGAGCAGCCACTTTTCTTTTAATATCGCCTCATATTTGAATAACTGGCAAATTCCCGATTTTTCACTTAAGATATTGCTTCTTCTGCTGCTGCTGCTGCTGCTTCTTATTCATCCTCTGCTTTCATAACTTTTGTTCTCCGCACTAACTTCCTTTGTTCGACTGCAAACAATTCGAACGGAATAAAAAAACTGTTTCGAAAACAAGTAAATTAAATTATTTTCTTCTGTTATTTTGCTGAATGGCTCTCTGCGGAGCACACTCGTAACGGAGATTTGTTGTGTTGAGATGGAGCGGCGAGGAAATGAAAACAGAAAAAAAACAACCCGCCGCCGCCGCCGCCGCCGCATCACATTGAATATTCCGTTTTGCGACAACTACTTACACTGAATTTTGAATACATTTCGGCACAATATTCATTGTGCTCTAGTGCTTCTGTGCTGTGGCAGTCATACTGCAGAGGAAAAATGAAACGGAGACGAATAAAAAAATGAGAACGGATGAGTATTTCAGGATTTTCCACATGCATGCACATTTCATAGAATATTTTCGTTGTCACAAAAACCCTTCATTCACGTACCATTCCGACAAACAAACACACGTTGCCAAATATGACAACCAGAATGATAACATATGCAATCAAGTAATAATTTATTTATTTGAGAGAGAGAGAGAGAGAGAGAGAGAGAGAGAGGCGGCAAGGGAGGACAGTGAGAGACAGCAAGAGGGAGAGAGAGTGAGTGAGTGAGTAATTGAGAGAGAAGACAGTAAGAGAATGATATGAACCGACCCAATTGTACAAATCCAAGAAATCGCAAATATTTTCAAATCGCATCGGGACTGAACCAGCATTGGGAGAATTTTGTCTCGGACAAACAAACAATTCACGACTATACACACGATTGGACTACAACTGGATTAATGTCAAATCAATTGTTTTCATTTTCGGTTTCGTTTCTTTTTTCTGGCTATTTCCAGTTGGAAATTGAGTGCACTTGGATGAGAGAAACAAACATCGATTGGATATTCCAAGGGCCAGCCTGTGCGGTGCTACTCATCAATTTGATATTTTTATTTCGCATCATGTGGGTGAGTCATGGACGTCGATTTGGAGATTTTTATTCATTTTTCCATGAAATTTGACAAAAAAGCTTAAAAATGCTCATTTTAATGGGGAAAAGCTTCCATTTAACAGGATTTTATTTTAATTGGTTAAGGGAAAAAATTCGAGACTTGAGAAGAAAGGACTAACTTTTTCAAAAGCATTTACTTGAAAAAAATTTACTTAAAATTTAAAGCAAATCAAAGTTGAATAAAAAAAATTAAAAGTACAGATAAATCCCGTGTATCATCTCCACTTGTATTGTTTTTTTACATTGAAGGGCGTTGAACGCACCTTAACATTCACAATACAAACTCAATGCGAGTGGAGACGCCTTATGAAAAATGGCACAGATTGCTAGTGCTAAGGTTTATCTGTACTTTGAAAAATTCAAACTTCGTGAGAAAATGAACTTTGAAGAAAGAAACATTCGAACCTTGAGCTTATTTCAGAACAAAATCATTTTATTTCTTATATTTTTCGTACCTAAAAATGTCCAAAGTCTTGAAATTTCAACAAACACTCAAAGTTCAATGTTCGAATTTCAAACGAAGAAAACGAAAATAAATTTTTAACGGAATAAAACTTTTCTCGAATAAAAATTTTTTCGAAAGAAGAACAAAATAAAAAAATCAAAAAGAAGAACTCAAGTCACAAGAAAATCTGAAGACTGAATAAAATTTCGATATAAAGCAATTGAAAAGAACATTAATCAAAATCATTTACTTTCTCCTTTTCCATCATTTGCATACTCAAGGTTTTAATAACGAAGTTGCGTTCCGCGAATACCGTTGAAACGCGTCAATATCGCAAGGCATCGAAAGCGTTATTGGTTTTAATACCGTTGTTGGGTATAACATATCTGGTATGTTAGAAAAAAACATTCTGTTCCTTAGGGTGCTATTTCCTAGCGGCCGATTTCGGTCGCCGATTCAAGTGAGCTATTCGGAATTTTGGGTATAACTTCTGAACCACTGAACGGATTTAAATGTGTTTTATATTTTTTGAAAGGTGTAATCTTCATCTTTCCTAAAATGTAGGTATTTTTTTTTCAAAATTCATCAAGTGGTTCGACAAATATAGCACAAAATGCTGAAAATTGGCCAAGATCGGCCTCCGATTCAAGCATTTTGGCTATAATTTTTGAACTACTTGAAGATTACATCTTTCAAAAAATATTAAAAGAAAATTTAAAATCCGTTCAGTGGCTCAGAAGTTATACCCAAAATTCCGAATAGCTCTCTTGAATCGGCGATCGAAATCGGCCGCTAGGAAATATAACATCTTACTAATAATAAATTTGAATTTTGTTCACTTAAAGCTTCTTCTTGCTGGTCCGAACGAGGGTGTTGGTAGTCACATATTTGTTGTGGCTCGAGCTTTTCTTCTCAGTACACAGGTAATTTATAGTCCATCGATTGCGATCTGTTTCGTTTTTTCGTTGTTCGTCTTTATTTTTCTCTTTATATCTCTCTCGAACTCTCGATGTTTCCACTATTTTACTTTGTTCATCTTTTTTCCCGTTCAATTTGTCTTCTTTTATGTGTAGTTTTTGTGTCTTAGCTCGTGTTTCATCCATAGCAAATGTTGAATCATTCTTAGTTTCTCCTTGAGTCACTCTACGCGTGTTGCCATTGCCACTTTGTGACACACTTTTTCATTGTTTTCCACTCATTCCGTGTGCGTTCAATCTCTCGACATTCATGCGATTCCACATCAGTGGCCAATGCTGGTGAACGATTATCGTATAAGAAAAACAACGGATTAATGTGCTGTAAAAAAGGCAGAGTGAAATAGAGACGAAAAAGAATGAAACCCATTCACTCTATTATTCTGAATCAACAAACCAAGCTGAGTACAATCAATTTGTTTTCTGTGCAATGTTCGTGAATTTCGATGTGTGCTCTAGTTAGTTTAGCCGGAATAAAGACAACGAACGCAACGATTTCATTTCACTTTTCGTCTTGTTTTGTTTTCCATTGAATTGTTATTTCCTCGTCTCAGTTTGACATTGTTGTTCGGCAGAACAATGAATACCAACGAAAGAGAAAAACGACAGTGGAAAAGAGTTTGGCCACTTCAAGTTCAACCAAAGTCAAAGAACACATACACAACCCACTCCAGAAATCGAAATTGTTGCACGATAAAGCGCAAAAATACACTTCAACAAACCAAACAAAGCAATAAAGCGAACAAACACATACTCTCACACACGTGTGTGCCAGTGTGTTTGTGGCGCTTTAATGAAAAGTTGTGCGATTCCATTTCCAATAATATGGTGATCGAACAGCAAAAAACACGTATCACTTCATCGTACAGAAATACCTGCAAATGCATCCTTTGATTGGAACAAATGTTATTTAGATTCCACCGTGAATTGCGACAAACATCAAGAAGTCAAAGCGAAGCGTACATAGCCGAGAAAATGAACCCAAGCGAAAAAAAACCAATAAGTTGATGCTGAAAACCACAGCAACTAACAACATCCAGACAATCTCTATATTTAAAGTGACTTTCATATACGGCACTTTTTCTTTATTTGCTAAGTTTATCACAGCAAATCACTGTGAACGGTGTGGTGTGTCTGTGCGCGCTCACACACGGATCAGATGAAGAAAGTAATTATCAGCAACTCATACAATCAACATACGGCTAAAATAATTCAATGGATAAAAAGTTAACATTTCATAAGCTTCATCTGTGATTTCTCATTTCCGTATTGTGCGTCTCGAGAATTTACTCCCACTGTTGGTGTTTGCCATAACTTTCTGCATTGCATTTACTTGGTATTTTCCCTTGTTCGGCCGTGATGCCGTGAATTCCTTCGCATCGCCTGGTTTTTGCCAGCTTCTCATTTCTTTCGAGTTAGCTTTCTCTTTTGAGCGTTTGATTTCCAGTCTTTTACTATTTAACTCTCCATCTCTCTCTCTCGTGCCCCTTCTCTTTTTTCTCTCATTCTCCTTTCTCACAATCTCCTGTTTTCTCTTCCATTCCAATCCGCCAAATTTTTTACAAATCCATTCGCTCTTGCTTATTCTAACTTTCAACACCCACTTCTCTGTCTAAGAAGAGGGAACGATCCCTGTATCACGGTCACATCTTTATTATATTTGCTCTTTGCATCCAATGCCGATGACAATGGATTAAAGGCTCCTGTTTCACACACTCTCGCTCCGTCACCCTTACACACTTTTCGCATTCGCCTTCAATTGAATTAAAATGTTACAGTTCACAGTGCATAAATAACGTGGGTGAAAATTAATCTTTACCAAATGGAAACTGCTCCTAAGCGGAAAAGATTGTTTGTACTCGCAGTTGTTTCCTGGAGTTTCTAGCTTTTACTCCGTGACCGCTTTTTCTATCGGATTTTCCTATATAAAATATTTTTCTATTCAAAAAAAGAGATGCATCTGGTTTTTGCGATGCGTGCGGTTTTCCCAATCTCTCATTGCACATTTGCATTCGCACCATAACTTGCGAGTAAACTTTCAGACGAGAGATTGCATTAAAAAGAATTTCAAACCAAGCCATTTTATTAAATACATGCTACAATCTGCATTATGCAAATTTCTGAATAAGGTAATCTGCTAAACACAGCACTGTGCTAAGTACAGTGATTTCTGTCGTTATTTTACGGACTCTATCCAATGAATAGCGAATGGCAAAGAAAACATTTCGAAGTAAAAGTATCAAAGTTTGTTATGGAAAAATAAATGTTCGGAGAAAATATTGAATTTATCAAAAAGAAAATAAATTTTCGGGAAGAAAATGACTTGTTGAAAATGAATTTTTTTAAAGCAAAATTAATCTTTTGAAGAGAAAACAATCGGTTTTTTGGTAGAAAAGTTCTATTTTTGATGACAAAATATCAATTGAAAACAGTTCTGGAGAAAAAAAAAAGATGATGAAATTTCTTCAAAAGAAAAGTCACCATTTAAAGATGAATCACAGCATGCGAATGAAACATCCATTGGAAATATAAAACAGCGTACAGAAATTAAAAGAAAATCTAGGAATTTGCATGTTTCAAAGACAAATATTTATTATTCATGAACAAACATATTTCCGTTGAACTCATGATTCGTGAGTCACCAATGAAGCTTTTAAGTCACAAATCAACTGGCTTTCCACGTAAATCACACATTCATTTCACCTCTTCATCAAAGTGTATTATTAAAGTTTTCTCTCCTGCATTTCCATATGCTTTAATTCTCAGGATGTCATGAATAAATGTCTCCATTTTTGCTGGTGTCGAGTGTGTGTGTGTGTGTGTGTGTGTGTAAGTGCGCGTGTTGTTTTTCACCTCATAAATATTGAAGCTATTTGCAGCGCAGCGAAGTTGTTTGCCCCTGTACTTTATTGCATTATATATTTATATCGAGCGTTGTTATTATTTCTTGTTACTTCCATTTATCGATCATGTCATAAAAAACGGGGGGCAAATCCATCTCATGCGGAGAATGCTATGTACAGCGCATACCCGTGTGGGAAAAAAATGACTTACTTACTGACTTTAGATTCAGTTGACTGTAGTTGATTGAATTTACGTTTTTTTTTTGAAGGAAATCACTTTGTCTCAAAAAAAGCAAAATTTATTTTGACTTGCAACTTTAAACGATTTCAGTTAACTTTGATAGACTTACACGTTGCACTGAAATTTCAATCGAAGTAAGTTGTTTTGGTCCGAAATTAGATAACTGACTGCTCAGTTACAATATTTGCACACGGGTATGTGTGTATGTGTGACAGTTCAGGCAACACTTTCACAGTTAGTCAATATTTAATTTTTTTTTTCTCTTTCGGAGAAACTGTTTCATCGTTCATTTTTTTCGCTCGCTCTCTTTCTTTCTCTCCCTCTATCCCTCTTTGTTTCTTTCCCTTTTTCTACCTCCTGCTTTTCTCTTTCTCTACCTTAGTTTGTAATGTTTTCAAAAACTTTTATACAGCTTTTACTGATGATTGTGTATATTTTGTTCTGTTGCAGGGTTTTTTCGTATCGCTTTTTTATTGTTTCCTAAATTCGGAGGTGAGAACAACGTTACGGCATCGATTCAACACCTGGCGAGACGAGCGCAACATACGAATGGGACAGTCGCGTCAAAGTCGAAGGTATGAATAATGATAACAGTCATTTTGTTTTTATATCGTTGGATATCGTGTTTTATATGGCAATTTATATTGGGTCATTGCACCCATTCAATGGCGAGATCTTGCATGTTTATTCTTTTTATTGAGATGATGCAAAACCGGAATTGATTTTGATTAAGATCAATTGGATGATGTGCGAGGAAAATTTATTGATTATAAGAAGCTTTCGTTCATTTTTTTCAAATGAATTTTCTGAGAAAGAAGCTTTCGTTCATTTAAAAGAGAGAAAAAAAATGGCATTTCATCCCAGGAATGATGAGAGAACAGCTTCGCAAATGCAATGTATTTTTGATTAGTTTTTGCGATGCATCGATGAATTTATCGTGAAATTCGTTTTTTTTTTTAATTTATTTTTTTGAATACCATCAACACCCCTGTCTCGTCATCCTTGTCTTCCCTCTACATCTACTAAGCTTAACCGTAAATTCTTTTTTGATGGTTTTGCTTTGCTGCATTTAGGTACACGTCAGGGATGAGTCAATCGAAAGATTATTCGCCTAGATCACGAACGGAAAGTATACGGTACGACATACATTTACACACATATGCACGTATACAACAACAACAACAACAAGAGAAAATATCCTCTTTTGAATTTTGTTTGCTTTCGCTTCTTGAACTGAGAATAACAACAGTAACACCAAACCATACAACAAACACACCGATAACAACAACAGATTAGCGGCGGATGGAATATGTTTTTGTTATCGGTGTGTTTAACCAAAGTTCCTCTCTCTCTGTGTTTGTTTTCTTATTTTCGTTCTTACTCTTTTTTTCTCGTTTTTCTTCGATGTTCGTTGATGTGGTTGCGCTTTAGTTTATTAATCACGTAGAAGATATGGCTGCTTGTCGTTTTTTTTTTTGCTCAACTTTTTCTCTATCTCTTACTCACTCTGCTTCTCGGTGTAATTGTCAGTAGTTGCAAAGTTTGCTCCCAACCAAAAAAAAACCAGATAAATAATCTGCATACTGCGTTTCTTGGATGCAGTTGGTTTATGACATGAAATGAAGAGTCATGCAAAATATTTTCCAAGAAATTTCCACAAATCACACAAAACACGCATAATTGAAAGTTTGCCAACTATCTGACGGTTCATAAACGTCGACGATGAAATGAAAACGATTCATGATGTCGACGACAACGGTAGAGATAGCGGCTGCAACAACGATGGCGGCGGTGGTAACAACATTCATGCACTTTGCTTTGTAAACACATTCGATGTTTTTTGAGCTGAAACACGCGATTGTTTTCAGCTATTCACACCCAATATGCTCTCATGATACCCAGTTTTATTGCACTGATAAGAACATATACATTCAGCCGATTACATTCCACTGTCACTCATTAAAACTTTAATTGCAACATTTCACGTGCGCTCGCTCAGTCATTCCCACTCCACACGGCCGTCACATTCACAAGTAATAACTCACCAACTCGACTTTCATCACATACTTTACACAGTTCCCAATGCCATTTAGGATTTGTTTCACCATAAAATACAACAACCACATATTTACGCTGCTGCACCAAAACAGATTTTACCCAAACGAGTGTTATTTTCATTCTAGTATTTAGCATTTTATCAAATACAAACACGGAATTAATGGTTTACGATTTGCTCAATGCAATGCGTCAATGCATTTACATTTTATTGCGTCAATGAAATGGAAGTAGAAAGAAATGCCAAACAAACAACTAATATGTACATTTCAAGCCAAGCATCCATCTCTAAATACATTGCACATCACTACGTGTTCAGGCATTTCCAATGACTTCTTTTCGTCCTTCATAGCGGTTTCCTTTGATACGCTATCGCTTGCTATGCTCTCGATGCATTTCATACATTCACGTTAATTTACAACTCAAGTTGACGTACAATTTTCGCATTTTTACCATATGTTTAGATCTTGAAAGGAAAACATTTCGAAGTCAACAGATATTTCACGATTCACTTTCAAGCGAATAGAATTCCAAGATTTCAATATTCATCTAATTTATGTTGCACTTTTTAAAAATCAAGAATTTCATTAGACGCTTATGCGTAAGTGGTATGACTTTAGCCATTTTTATTCCCGACCACTCATGTATATATGTATAAATTGTGACAATATTTTGTATTCTTTTGGACAAAAAAAGACGCACAAAGGTTTTTTTTCTGAAGGCTTTAGTGAGATCTACGATCATATATACTTACGTAACTACAGACGAACGGCTTAGGTTAAATTAATAATTCTAATTTCACAATACAAGCGATTTTCAATAGCACAAGCCTCAATAACTGTCTGCACAAAAGTCATGGAACGTGTCGAGTACTGTAATTTCCGTTTGGGTTTTCCATTTAGTTAATGTTTGTTGGGAACCAAATGATGAGACGGTGTCTTTCCAAAAACATTAGCATTAACAAAGGCGTTCGTCGCACGCTCAATCGCTTTGAATTGAAATGATTGATTTTGATTAGTTTTTCAGCGGAAAGTATATTTCGACAATCATTCCAAGAAATTTGAACCTGTTTATTGCAGGGCTTAAGAATTGCACTGAGTGGACCCTGTGAGTAGCGCAATGCATAACAATGTCGTGTGCGCTACCCACACACACAAACGAACGACGAACAGTTCACAAATGTTTAAATAAAAATGAGTTTACCACTGTCCGTGCAATGTACGCTCAAATACTCACAGCAGACACGCAGAACAGAAAAAACATGTTCGTGCCTGTATTTCGGCTATGTTAAACCTACTTAATACTACTATTACTTCTTCTTCTTCTTCTTATTTTAATATATTAAAAATATCAATGAATTTTGCTTGAATGTATTTAAATTCGACCATTTATTCTCCCGATTGCCATTCGTGATAACTACGGGCGTTTTATTTAAGTATGATTAGTGAGAGCATGTATCGGATACATACATTGTATCCACTGAAAAATTCATGAATTTCAATTGGTAATAAAAGTGGATATTTTTTCGATGTCCAACGTAAGAATTGCCTATATTGAGCTGAATGAAATCCCGTGCAATCAATTGGAATGGCCATGAAAAATGGCATTTGCGTATTGACTAAATGTGTGAAATCGATCCTTCTCTAAATTCGGAACCGAAAGCAATAAAAAAAGGTTTTTTTTTCTTCTCCGCATCTGGAAATGGCTGACAGGTTTCTGGTATTGACGTCGGACACAGTGTCCATCTCTCTGTCTGCAAGACAGTCAATCGATTTACGAAGAAAATAATGTGCCATTGAATCGGGTGAAACGCATAAAAGATGAACCCCATGCTGTTTCGTGTGCATCTAACTAAATCATTATTTCATCTTCATCTAACATTAATAACGTTGTTTTGTTTTCCATTCGACGGTGTCTGTACGTTGAACTCTCTGCCCCTCCTTCTTCTTCTCATCGTTGTTGTTGTTGTTGTTGTTATTGTTTTGTTGTTTATTTTTAGTATGTGCATGCGGAGCGTAGAAAAACCCAAAGTGTTCACGTAGATGGTAAACAATTGTGTGCACAAGGTAAGCTTTTTGACTGGATTTTGGAAAATCGAATATTCACGCTTTACCTTTTGATTTTAATTTGCATGGTAGTTTTCCATTCGTGTCTTTGTTTCCTTTGCTGTTGCTGCTTTGATGCAAATATTGCATTATTGCAAGTTGTGTGGCATTGCTCGCGGCTACTCTAGCTTGAATGGAATAGAAAGCTTCCTTTGAGCTCTTTCCTATAGCGTGCAATTGCAATTTTTCAACACAACGCTATCAAATCCATTTTTTCTTACCGCGCACTTTTCCTTCTCTTCTTTCGATTGTGCAACGTATACAGGTAATCCTTTATAGCTCATTTTTCTGCCCTTCCACTTTCTATCAACCGCTCGATATTTTTTGTGCACTATTTTGTGTGACATGTTGTGATATTACCAACCTCTTCTCTAACCTAACCTCACCGCTCACCGCAATAAACAAACAAACTTAAACTCTTTTTGACGTTTCATAATTTTGTGTTTTGTCTTGATTTGTTTTCTTTTGTGTATTTTTAGCTTGACATCGATCAACATGTCGCCGTCAGTATACGTATGAAAACATATCTCCTAGTTTTATCTAGTTAACGCGATCAATATTCACAAACACACGTATCCAATAACTAGCAAATACAATACGAATTTTGATTAAGTTTAACCGAAAAAAAATTTCGTTTTTGAAGTATCCTAACACTAGTCGAAAGCAGACAAAACAACCAAAAAATACCGACAAAAAAAATATATGCAAAAACCCGATCACAACGCATGTCAGCGCATGACTTTCGATAGGCTATACGCTTTTACTCACATTGGCTTTTTCGCTTTTTGATTTTTTTTTCATTTGATTTGTTGCTTTTCTCTTTCGTTCGAAAAAAAATCGTTTTGTTATTTGAAAAGAAGAAAACAACTGAACCGACCGAAAATAAAATTGTGATTTTAAATCGTGTTTTGACCATTTTTAAAAATGAAAATAAATTTGTTTCACAGTACAAAGTTAAGATTTAGTGTTGGTTATTCCATTTGATGTTTGTGTGCAAGCACAGACGGGGCTATCGTCGGCAAAAATAACAATGCGATTCGCTTTTGAGAAGAAAAAAATATTTTCGTTGAAAAACGGGTTACTTTTGGTCGTCCTCTTGAAATTGCGTGCTGTGTGTGTGTGTGAAAGGAAAACAGGTCAATATACAATCAAACGGTTGTTATTGGTTTGATATTTTCCAAATAAGCACATCGACGTTGTATTCCATTTCGTCGGTTTGGGTCTGCATGCCCCAAGCAATGCAACACACTGCTAATATTTGCACCACAAAGCATTCTCATCGCGAAGCGTGTGTTTGATTTTTTCCTTCAAAAGAACGTTTTTGATGAAGAGAGAGAGAAAAAAAGTAACTGGCTTTTGTTTAAATTGAAAGGAAAAAACGACGGAGAACGATGACAAAAAAATAACATACGGTGCAGATACAATGGAAAAAAGACTTTTCAAAATGAAATATTCCCATCGGCTAAGAATTGTACAGCCAATATTTCGAACCGTTCAAAAGTGCACATAAACTATGGATTCCTACTGGGCTTTCTACACACAGCTTTGTTTTTATGAACTACTACCACTATGCTTGGTCGTTCTTTTTTCTTTCAACTTTTTATTTCTTTTTTCTGGAAGCAGACACACGGTGTGTGTCACGCACTGAGTCTTTAATGAAAAAATTGCAAGGATTTCGAATGGGATTGATGACGTTTTGAAAAAATCGTTTTAGTTTTATTGTGAAAAAGAATGCATTTTGAATCAAATCCAGAAAGAGAAGACCATGCGAAAAAAAATTTTTGACATTGTAAAAAATTGGTCTTGAGGATAACAGAAACACAAGAGAGTATTGCCCCAAAAGATAGATATAGACCATATCATATGGTCGGTATGAAAATTAATGTACAGGTGAAGAGAGAAACCAAATTTGTATCGAAACCACTGCTATAATACGGTATTATGTATTATTAATGCCCTTGCATGTATGACGAACCGAAAATCACTCAAAAGTGATTTGGAATTTATGAAGTAATTTGTAGAATGATTTACCACTGGATATTTGACTTTATGTCTCTGTTCATTTTTCTTTTATTTCTGGGAATCGTTGAAAATCAATCGTTTTTTTTTTCATTTTTCCACCAATCGTTGTCCTAAAAATCATCCAATATGACAATTCAAGTTCACATTTGTCGATCATTTCAATGATTTCGTCGAATTTTTAAATGATTCTTCGATATTTTGTGATATATTGTTGACATTTCTTGTATTCTGAAACCAAATATTCGCTTGTATTGCTTCAATTCGAACCAAAAATCAATCTCCTGGCTTCGGATGGTTTACAAATTGCAATTTTTTTGGAAGAAAATTCTGGAAAATCGGAACTGTTTAAGTAAAAAGTGGAGACGGATCGAATATTTTTCACTAAAAAAAATTGATAACTTTTTCAAAAGAAAAACTGCAAAAGTAGAATTTGTCACAAAAAATTGAAATTCCGGAATTTTATTTAAGAAAAATTGAAAATTAGGAATTTTCTGCATTTTTCCGTTAGACGAATGGATTACTTACGAATAAAGCACTCAATGTTCTATGTCGAAAATTGAAAAAGTTCAGTTGTTACAAAAACCCATATCTACTTTTGTAACGACACGAGTTTATCTGAGTACCGAAATTCGATTGCCATCATTTCCAACAAATTCCACCCAAAACCTAAAAACACGTGAAATATCTGTTCGTTCTCAAATCGGTCAGTTTAAAACTACTAGTATAAAATTAGTAATGCTTTGTTCCGAATGAAATGGAAAAGTTTGTGAAATGTACTGCAGTTTGGCTCGGGGGATTCGTTTGCACAAAGTAACGAACAAAAAAAACTTCCACTTTTCGAACTACATGTGGTCTACTAGGCTACTAGGTACACCATTTTTCCGATCGAATAAATTCAAATGGAAAATAATCGAAAGGGTTTGGCCAATCGCAAGCGCAAAAAATATCGTTGACATGGTTTTATATCTGGTGGTTCACTATGTCGTTTGTTTGACTTCTGATGGTCGAATCGGTTGAAAAGTGACCACTCAATCGGTATCAAACATAACCCATTTACGAAAGTAAAAACTCGAAATTCCGTGCTCTCTAGGAAATCAATTCGAAAATTGATCGAATTTTCACTGTAAAAAATGTCATGAACAAGAGAGAGAAAAAAGACTTACTTCTCTAATGAGCATGTTCGTGTCTTTGAAATCACCGTAAGAAAAAGTTTGTTACAATTGTTCGTAAATGGTAACTCGTTAAGTGAAAATAAAACGCAACGCTCAAATCCAAACGGCAGCCAAATCCAGGTCAAACTGACAATTCGTGTGCCAATACCGCACCGGTGATGATAAATTGCCGTGTAACTCTCGTAACATGCATTGTAAAATTGTTATAGTATAGATTTAGGCGATTGATTTTTGTTAGCAGCGTTACCTTAATAACGCGGCGCACAACGCATGCTATCTATTCAAGTTCGTGCACTTCGTTCAAATTAAATTCAATAAATCAAAACTTCGTAAACTGCGACAACAACAACAAGTTTGTAAAATGTTTGCAGTGTCGATGAAAGTGTTACTCGGTAATTGAGTGTCTTTGCCAAAGATTCTTTGGTGTGGCTACGGTTTCGCACCGTTTCCGTCAATAATTGCTGTAAACTTTATACAAAGTGTTCGACTAATGGAAATATGACAACGTTCGGTGTAATGTAATAAAGTAGGGGGAGAGTGAGTGAATAAAAGAGTGAGGGAGTCTAGAAGTGAGATGGAGGTAGAGAAAAAAAAACAGCGTCAAAAGCGCCGCGGCTGGAAGGATGCATGACGAATTATAATGGTTCACATTTTTATTGGTCTTACATCCTGTGAATGTACTAAATGAGTCAGTAGTTAAATTCATTGAAATAATTGTTTCATCATTTTCCATTCGCACACACACGCAGCGCTATGATTTTCCAGCCATCCATTTGCCATTTGGAAAATCCTTAATTCGAACAATGCTTCAATTAGAGTCAGTTATTTCAAGCTCCGGCTGAATGCTGACATTATCGATGCGGAAACGTTGGCACCACCACCACCACCACCACCCAATAATGCTAATGTAATTAAACGGCGAATAGCACCTTTTCCATGGATATTTTTGCACCGACGTTTGTCAGGAGACCGAGCAACAAAAACTTTGTGCTCTCTTCCTCTATCATTCTATCACTCATAATCGTTGACTCGTTTATTCGCTCATTCCTTCGCTCAAACCTTCTGTCTTCCTTTACCTTTGTCTCTCGCTCTCTCTTTGTCTCTCTCTCGCTCTCGCTCTCGCTCTCTGTGTGTGTCTTACTCACTCACTCTTTACGCTTTTTCTCTCACTCTCTATCTCATACCTTTCTCTCAATCGCTTACCCACTTATTCTCCCTCGTTCAGTCGCTAACTCGCTCACTCGCCCGTCCGCTAAAACAAGTGGCTCCAACGATGAACGCCATCGGTGCAAATTCATCCATCAATAACAAGTGTTTTCAAGTATTTTTGTATTCTTACCTCTGCCGTTGTCTTCTACGTGCGCATTGCGTGCGCCTGTCAAACGTGGAAATGAATGTTTTACTTTTTTTTTCGTTGATGTGGCTCATTCAGTTGCATGAACGAGTAGGCGAACGAGCCGAATGGTTTTTCGTTTGTTTTTGCGTGGATAAAACTTGCAAAACACAGCAACAAATTCAGTGCAACCACCAAACGCTGGTTCGACAACGATCGAGTCAGTGTGCCGCTGGTCGTCCGTCATTCGGAACATATTCGACGAATCAATTGACAGGTGGCTGATGTGATGGTGTGTACGGAAACAATGTTCTTATTAATGTTATTTCACCCACTCATCCTTCCCTCTCGCACACTTTGACCTCCACAATGTTGCTCAAATACAGTCATAACAAATTCGAAATGGCCGGAAAGTCGATTGTGGTAAATGGTCTTTTTTAATCTGATTAAAATGGTAATTTTTCAAGTGGGCCCCAACCACACGGCCATTGATTAACTCGAATTTGTACGTTCAAAGTGAATAAAAAAAAAACGTTGATTTGCAGAACTTGTTTTTTTTCGTTTCATTCGCTTTTGTTTTAATTTGGAACAAAAAATGTGGATTATAGCGATTGCCATTTCAAAAACAAATGCATTTAACTGCTAAAAATTGACTTAATTTAATGGAGCCATGCGACAAAAATGTACTTTGTGTCCGCACAACACATTTTCACAATGGAAATGATTTTCAATAGTAACGCATTTTGTTGCAAAAGCCTGTTCTGTTGATGGACATCCATAGATGGACTGAGCTCGAGAACCGAAAAAAACATAGTGCAACGGTTTGAGTTCGGTTCATGAGCAGACTATAGCGCTACCAATGTCTGTATGACCCATTCCAAACATCCAAACATCATGGTGTGCTCCACTCAATTTGCATATTTTAATAGAAATCATATTATCAGCTGGAGTGTCTCTCTCTCTCTGTGTGTGTGTGATGGACACACGGTCAATCGAGACGACGAGAATGTCTCACATTCATCGAGTGAATGTGTCTGCTGCGTCCCGTTCGGTACTAGTGATGCAAAATAAATTGCAAGGTGCGCGAGACTCGCACCACTCATTTAAATTGCAAACGGTAATTCGACATGCGAGACAATGTAGGCCATTTGAGAGAGAGAGAGAGAGAGAGAGAGAGAGAGAGAGAGAGAGAGATTTTGGCCATTTAGACGTATTCTATGTGTCGGCAATAATGTGATATTGGCAAAATCCATTAGAGTACCGACACTCTCGCTGTTTTCATATTCATAGCATTTGGGCTCATCACTTGTTCTAATTTCTTGGGCTCTATTTCGTTCAAACTCATGCCAATTTTCATCGAGCAGAAGATTTTATGACCATTTCTTTTGAATATAATGAAGTCATTACTCTAGAACAACTAAGCCATTCGCTTTAGAGGAATCATGCTCAATGCACATTCCCATTCGATAGAGAGAAATCCTAGACTCCACCCAGAAGTGTCTAGGTAGTTGCATTGTGATGAAAAATGATTTGTTCAAAAATCTCCACGATTATCGGTTCAATATCGTATAGAATCCCCAAGAAGCCGATCGAAATCGACCGCCTATATTCTGTATTTGAGGTTAACAATTCATCAGTCCATTTAGCTTTGCACTCTCTTATGCATCCATTACGATTAATTTTACATTATGGTCACATGATTGTGACATACACTCACCCACTTTGTATCCGTTAGAGTTCTGTACATCGAAAAACATGGTGGATTTCATTTGCTAGCTTTTATGCTATTGCCGGTGAGTGTGGAATTGTGTAAGCGCTGCAGTTTTAAAATGTTTCGTTGAACTCGGAATACATGATGACTCATCATTGATGAGGGTTGATGATTTTTTTTTTGTTCTGACCCGAAAAATTCGCGTTGCATACCTTATCCAGTGAAAATCGTCGACACACACACACGCGCACGCGCGCATAGTTAAAATTGACCTTTTCTTGGAAACCGAATCCTTTTAGTTCGATTCAAGTTGAAAGTAACCTGCGTTCGTCGTTGATTTTAGTTTCAGTTGAATGTTAATTTGCCATTTTCTAGCACTGCCCGTCTAATTTATGCATTCGATCCCTTTTGTTTGCCATTTGATCTCCAAACGGTTTGTTTCTTTGTTTTCATTTGTTTCTCTTTTTTTTTGCTTCCCAATTTTTTTTTCCGCCTCACTTATCATTTGCTCCCTGTTTTTTTTTTGGTTTTTTTGTGTACCATCCGCCGTCCCGCCAATTTCTCTATATGTTGTTTACACATGTGTATGCGAAAAACCAAAACAACAAACACCACACTTTTATTTTTAGACCGTTAACGTCGTACAATAAACGTGAATCGTGTGCTTCGAGTGCAACAACAACCACAATGCTGGGACAACCATCAAGTAATTATGCATCACAGCGTGGATCGAACGGTGCATTGCATCTGTATGCATTGCCGATGCCACCGCGCGCCATTAGTCCTCTGATGCAGGTAAATGTGAAACACAACAAAAAGACACACACACACACATCTCCAATATCAAACGACTAACATGCATTTTCTCTCTATTTTGACTAACTCACTTTCGCTTATGGTCTTTCCCACTCAATGTCTCACCTTTCTCTGTGTCAACTAATCCGTGTCATGGAGTAAATTTTCCTGTTTTTCTATGTCAGAGAGTGAACTTTTCATTCGACCTCTATCACTATCTCTGCTTTTGCCATTTCTCCACCCTTTCCTGTCTTACTCTCACCATTTTCCACCCATTTCGACATTCAATTTTCAATTTGAGCTAATAATTTGCATTTGCTTTTGTTTCTGTTCTCTTTTAGCAAGGTTTAGACGAGAATTGTGTGTGAAACAAACAACGACTATTGGCCTCTTCGAATCAACCCATCTCGACTCGATTCACGTCATCGTCGTGCAGCAGCATGGATGGCAGCAAACTTTCAAACCTACGTACGATGTGGAATCAATGAAATTGCTAATTAAATACACATGTCCCGTTTTCTTGTCTTCTAATTCATACATCGTCGTTGCGGCAGAAGTGCTTTACCAAAACCAACAGTAGCAGCAGCAGCAGTAGCAGCAGAAGCAGCAGTAGCAACGGCATTAACATCAACTTAATCAATAAATGTTAAAATGTGTCCAGACTTTTTTTTCTATTCTGTGAAAATCGACTTTACGTTAAGCGCATCAGTATATGTATATGTAATTGTTGGAATTTTAAAAGTTTATATATTTAAAACCATCGAAGCAGCAACAGCAGCAGCAGAAAAACCAACAAATCCATTCAATGTCAAAATATATGTGGTGAAAATATAGTTGATATGTGTATAAAATTTTTAAAACAAACAAATAATGATACATAACAATTAATGGTTAAAACCATTGAACATAGGAGTGAGCAAGCAGAAAATTTATTGAAATCAATGGCATAATAATAAAAAAAAAACTGAAAATTCAGCAGAATATTTATCACAATATTGTGTGTGGATGTGTTTTTATCTATTTATGTCCTGGTTTTTTGTTTTTCGAGGGTGGAAAATGGCTGTGGCATTAACAGTCACTGATTTATAATGAACCAATAATCGAATTAATTGACACATTTCATGCCTGTAAATGACAGTGTGCTTCGTTTCGTTTGTTTTTGTTTTTAATGAATCCTTTTATCCTTTTTTTTGGGAACTTTTTATCAGCCCAGCCAACTGGATCTGTTCATTTTGTTCCATGAACCATTCCCCGATGTTCAATGTTCATTTCACTGGAAAATATGCGGAAAATTTTATGATTTTGGCTGATAAAAATCCAATTCATGCATCTGCTTTTGACAGTTCTAGGCCAATTTGAAATTTTTTTCTTTCGTTGTTCTATCTATCTGACATTAGTTTTGGCCATTCTAGCGGCACTCTTTTTCCCCATTCATTTCTTCTTCTTCTTCTTGACTTGTTTTCCTCTATTTCAATGTTTTTTTTTTGTTAGCATTCAAATCGTTGTTCACATTTTAATTTCGTTCAATTTCAGCTTGGTCGCATTTTAAATTCGATGGCTTCATTAGTTATGATTCACGCATTCTTCACTCTTTTTTCTGAATATCCTATTCTGAATAATTTGCAACTAAAACAAAGATGCGGAGCAATAAAGAGTAAATTACCGTTTGGAATTCGAAAGTTTAAATTGGAAATACCGAATTTGGTTTGTAAGAGACGATTTTTCGGAATCGAAACAGGTAATGAAAGATAGGAAATTTGGCATCAACTAAAAATGGACAGAATGAGAGGAAACAAAACTAGAAGGTCATATTGAAACGAATGGTAAGTATAACTTACTGAATAATCGAGTATTCGAGCATGCATCGATCGAAACTATAGTCTTTGATAGAGTCATAAATTAGACTACATTTTCAATGGAAATCACATTGTCAGATTATCGTACACACATATCGCTTATCAATGTCGTTCAAGGCTCATATTCGTAAAACGTACGCGCAAATTTAGAACGAATATTGAGTGCATCTAACCAGGGCCTAATAAACGGAAATTAGATTGTGTTTTATATCTCTGAAGTGATCTCCGGTTGAACTTCCTTACTTGATTTTTAGACTTGTTTCTATTAGTCGAGAACAAGAAAGTCCAAAAATCAAACAAATTTGAAGTAAACCGAGTCAAAAATGGTTCTATGAGTCTTTGTAGTTTCGAAGAGATGTGAGAATTTAATTATGACACACAATTATTGACTCATACCTTCACCTCACCAAATAATGATTGCATAGTGATTTTATGGATAAACAGATGAAACACAGTTGAAATAATCCAAAATCTTCGTGTATGTATCACATAATATGTGCATAAAAAATCAAACGAATAACTTGTGGAAGGCAACGGCATATCGAACGAATGGTTCCCTGATTGTTAATCAAATAGATCATTGCACGAGTAATATAGCGAATGAATGGACTGTGTCGGCAAGATTTGATGTATTTCTGAATATAAAATGTTATCTACGACACGATGATAAATTCTCATATCAGCAGAAACACACAATTAAATCTACATTAAATGCAATGAATCCCATCAACTTGCACACAAGTATCTATATTCCATGATAAAATACCAGTGAACCACCGCAATTAGTTCGAATTAAGTAAGTGCGCTGGAAATTATGGATGACGGTTAACGACTTTGTATACCATAATGTATCTATATTTTGACTCTGCTATCGCGTCACTCGTTGAATATGGATAGGAATAATTCTAGATCGAAACTGCTATCATGGTGAATGCGTGGACATTTTCAATTGAACTACAACGCGAAGTATAAAATCAAGCGCCGACATCTCAAAATCGGTTGGAATCTCAACAAAGAACCCCCTGTCTTTTAAAATATCACTCATAAGAATGTGAATACAATAGCGATTCAACGATTTCTTGAAAAATCTTTCGCTAATCTTATTGGTTCTAAAATCTCTTGAATTACCATTTGTATAACAAAGCAATCATCGTTGCCATTGTGTCATTGTGACGCTGCGCAAACGCAATTCAATGTCACACATATTTAATAGATCGAATCGCATACGGACGGATGGAGAGTGATCGATGATCGTTTACAGTGTTCACGCACATTTCATTCATACCTGAGTACCGTGCTGTTGCTGTTGTTGCCGATCACAAGCAGTGCGATCGGTTGTATTGAAATGCGCTCGCGTCGTTGGGTCGCTTGTTGACGTTTGCAACACACAGGTGGTTTAACCAACATTGTTTGATTTAAAACACCTCAGTTGACTGTTGATCACCGTCGCGTTAACTGTTACTTTATGTTTTATCGTCTCGATTTTGGATCATTCTTACGTTCACCCAGCGGAATATTTACAACAATAACTGGAAATTAGCGCCCTTTGTTTTTAGTCTGGAAAACCTTTCGAAAGTTTCCTGTTGACCGTGAAAATAGCTACAAGTGCCGGGGCTTCTAGTTCGATTGAATTCTTCGAAATGACTCGATTGAAAAAAATTTAACCTAAAATTCATGGAGTGAAATGCTAAACGATACAATTTGTGTGATACAAACGATTTTCAAATATTAAACAAGTGATTCATTTTGTGATTTTGTGGCGCCAACTGAGCTTGATCAAGTTCATAACAGTTCGTTTTCAACAATTTGTGGACATTGTGCAGAAAACAAAGCAATTTTTTCGTTTTTTTTTGTTGAGATAACACAATTTGGAGCATTTATACATATCTCCTGGAAAGGTGAGTTGATTTGGGAAGGAATAAGAAGTTTTTTTCTAAGAAATGTACAATCAACAGATAAAGAATAGCCCTGTGCAATTTTTTAAAATGTATTTTGACTTGATTTTTGAGTCACTTGATCATTTTTCTTCATACAATTTATAGACTGGTCTCAGACTGAGACTCTCAGTGACCGGGTGGTTGCAACAGTCAACTGTTTTTAGACATTTTGATCATGTTTTATACATCAACTACAATCAAAAGACAATAATACAATCACTAGAAAGTCCTAGGTAATTCATTTGACTAAACCGATCCATTCGATTGAATTTGTTTAAAGTTGATTGAAATCGATTGGAATTGCACAGTTGCAATCGGTTGGAATACTGTGATTGTACAGTATGTACAAACAATCAGTCGATATGTCTTAAAATAAACTAGACTAATTTATAGTCAATATCTTTTCACAAGGGTGCTTCATCTGGCGATTGTACAAAGAATCACGAAAAACGAATAATAGAAAGTCAGCGCGTTTAAATTTTAAAAGAAGAAGAAAAAACACAGCAAATTCAATGAAAGAAGACTTTGGTTTTTTGTAAATCAATGGAAAAACCCAAGAATAGAATAAAAAAAAACCTGAAGTATTAGAAAAAAACACACAGAATTTAGAAAAAAAAAATAGTCAATTCTAAATCAAAACTAACCCAAAATGAACAAAACATAAAATAAATCAGAAAAAAACACGAAAAAAACAAGAACGTTAACAAAATTGCAAATTCGGTTCTATCGATGTGACGTCTTTCTTGATCGATTAACATTAAATTATTTATTATTCAAAGAAACTCGTCTGCGGTTTGGTTGGTTGACAAACTTTGCATTTTTCAGGTGGATGAATAGATGGGAAAAAAAATCCTAGATTTCGTTCTGTTCCGTCATAGATAGTCCGGGATGGAACGTGTATTCGCACGGTGCTGAAGAATGAATGCTAAATTAGTTTTCTGCTCAAGCATTGATGCGTTAAGGTAGTTCGGTTATAAAACAATTTTATCAAGAATCTGGTATGTTTCCAGTTGAAATCTTCAACTGATTAGAAACAGTACTAAGCAAATTCTATCGACTCACACGCATTTTTTTTTAATTTAACACCGCCAAGTACTGGCTGAATCTAGTAGTTTTGTCGAATGTTTCAACTTGAAATGTATTAATTATTGATTGATGGACCAATGCTTCTGTCGACTATTGTTAAATTTAATTGAAACAATGGCACTGCTAATTTTAACCCTTTATCACATTTCGGTTCCTAAAGTAACCAGATACGCCAGACGCTATAGCTATGAAACCACTGAATATTTTTACATTCTTGTTTGGAAACAAATGTAGGGAAATGAACTAGCTTTCATTTGATACTTTACAGGCTACAATCGGCTGGCTGAATGGAAAGTTTTTTCTGTTCATGTACTGCTGTAAAAAAAATGCGAAATTATAGCAGAATTCCACATTTTTCCTCCTCTTATCTTGTGGATTTGTTCATTCTTTTCAATTGTCAAATTAGGACTCGTAGGACCAAAATACATCAATTTAACTTTCTGCATCATTAGTTTTATACAAATAAATTATTTCAAGCTTTTATAGTGATTTGACACTTTTGACTCTTTTCCGATTTTCTCGACAATTTTTCAAAAATCTAAGTATGAGGTTTTTCTCTATTTATCGTGGCACAAAACATATATCAAAATGATTCAAAAACAAAAAATTGTGCATCAAAGGGTTAATCGATAATTTTCTTAATTTGCGGTTGCGATATTTCGGACACACTTTGTGTTCCATTATCAAGCGCTACAAAAAGTCAAAAAAGTTTATGAGTAAAACAATGTAAACAAAAAACATTCTGTTCACCATGGACTCACAATTGGAATGCGTTTTTGCGTAAAATATATTGACTAATGAACATATGATTGATTTATCCAAGAATTCTTCGAATTCGCATGGATAAGTGATGAAAATGGACGAAATTAAAGAGAACATTAATGAGAATTCTGTTCAAAAGTGAAGGTTTTACGTTGAAACTTACAGCTGGAAAGTAAATGTTTCGTTTTTCACTCATTCATTGAAGACTTCACTGTTGTTGTTTTTTTTTTTCGAAAAGAAAATGAATGGAACAATTTCGAGTGAATCAAAGGTTTTTTTTCGACTCCGAAATGTAAAGACGATTGACTTGGATTTAAATTATAATGAAACTTTTTTCCCGTCTAACTCCAAAATAATAACTCTGTGATTTCTATTGAATTGAACTCTTGGGCGCTGGAACAGTAAAAAACAACAACGGTAATTTGCGTATTTTTCTGTTGATGTGTTCACCGCAGCAGCATCATTAGTGCTAAATCAATTGAAAACGCAGAAAAACACAGTTATGTAAAAATGTTAAGTATTTTATTGTAATGATTGTTGCACAGAGAAGTTGGCTTTTTTTACATTTATCATTTTTATTTCAAATGAAAGCGCAAGGCAACAAACAAACGCAAAAAAAAATTACGTCAAATGACAACGGATGTTATGGTTGTTCAATTGTTTTGCAAATTAAAAGTGACACACGCAAACGCGCACATTCGTAGTAAAATAATTGACCGAAATGTGTTGGTTTAGCTTAAGAATGGGCCATCGTAATGATTTGCAGCAAATGATTTGCCTGATGGGCGACGTGTGGGAAATTCAAACAATAGCCCCGACATCATTTGGTGATAAAAAGTGCGAGACCGAAGGCAGAAAAAGAAGAAGCAAATGGAGGAAACGAAAAAAAAAATTGTTATGCTTTATTGAAATTACTACTTTCGATTTAATGACGACAAACGAGCAAATCGTGTCATTTGACATTTTCGACAGTGCGCTATGTGACGCTTCTGAAGGTGTTGCTTACCTTGCTCATTTGTATAAACTATTTATGCGGCCAAATTGTGTTCCCTTCTTCTTCTTCTTCTTCTTCTGCTGTTGTTGTTTTGACGAATCAATGATGGTTATGTAGCAGCAAATGCGACGCCACCGCCGTCTCATTTTCAAAGCAGACGTGTACGTTTTGTTTTGTTCATTCGTCTATGAATGAATTTGCGGTACCGCAGACAGAAAGAGAGACGAAAAACAACGACCGACCGATCGATAGAAAGAGAAAGCCACACATTATAACACGTACACGGCGAATCTAATGGCACAGCAAACAATTTACCATATTTTTCTGCACTAATGTGTCTGCAAACAGACGAACGATCGTGTAACTATGCTATGGTTCAGCTTGAAGATCATTTATTCCAACAACAAATGTTGAACCGATTCATTTGGTTTCATTTTGTGGCAAATGTTCATTTATTCACGATTTTCCATTCATCAAACTTAATCTCGGTGTCAAAATCCGCTTTTTATGGCAAAAATTGATCTTTTGCAGAAAGTCAAATGAGTTTTTGTTCCGCAAAAAGTATTTTATTAAGCATACAGCATTTTTTGTAACCAAAAACCATCTTTTAAGCCAGAATAATAATTTCTGAGGCAAAACCCACTTTTTAATATCCAAATTTTGGGTTGAATAAAACCATTTCGCAAATTTCTGCTGGATAAAAAGTGTGAATTTCTTTTGAATTGTTGGATATTATAAAACCAACGGTAATTTCTACTGAATGTGTCATCTTCATCTCTTTTTCTTCAGCAATATTTGGCGGTTTGTGGCAAAACGGTAGAACGAAGATATGGCGGAGTAATGCGCATTGCTGTTGGCTCACTGCGCATTGAACATTCATGCTTTGATTTTGTTTACCACAGAACACTTCAGTGAGCAGCACCTAACAAACAAATGCTTTCGACTTTGATCCCAATTTTCACTTTGATTCAAATTTTTCACCTTTTTCTGTGCATTTCTTCACTTTCATCAACAAATCGTCGAGTGTATTTTCCCTTTTTCCCATAAAGAACAATTTTTATTGAAATTTTCCAAGATATTTGACATCTTCATGATGAAACTTCGACATTTTTGACATGGAGGCGTGACGTACCGATCACATTCTAAATTATTTTTATATTTACGCTAAAATTCTCAATTTTTTTACAGGATCTTAACTTGACAAAGACGCGTTAGGTGGCTTTTATTTAAGCAAAGGGAATCAGATCTATGGGTGAGATTGAGAGTGGAGTATGTTTTTTCTTCGGTTTATATTTTTGAAAAGGCGAGTATGTTTTCTGATGATTCTGTTGGCGTTAAAGTAGAGTATGTTGTAGTACCGTCTAGCCTCCGCGGTCTTCATGGTTTTCGCGCAACTGATAAAAGATAACAACATGGTGTCTTAGGCAAAGTTGTAGTACTCGAGGTCTTCTATAACTAAGTTGAAGACAGTTATCTCTTATCTCTTATCAGTTGCGCGCAAATCGCGCACATAAAAAAGCAAATTTTATATAGAACTTTTTTTTTCTTATCATTTTTTGCGCTTTTCGCGGAACTGATAAGAGATAAGAGATAACTGACTTCAGCAATGTTATAGAAGACCTCGAGTGCTACAACTTTGCCGAAGACACCAAGTTGTTATCTCTTATCAGTTCGCGGAAACCGTGAAAAACCGCGAGGACCCGCTAAAAACGAACATACTCGCTTTTAACCATTTTTAAGTCGACAGAAACTTGCTCTTCTCTTTCGTAACAAAGTCAATGAAACATACACCACTCTCAATCTCACCCATAGAGATGTTCAAAAATTTGCCATTCTAGTGGAAAAAAAAAATTCGCACCGTGCAGTCGCCCGATTTGCCCGTATGCTGTCTCTGCTTCACAATGATATGGCAGCAACCTTAGGAACATGATCGAACCTTTGTTGTTCTTAATTGCTGGTTGCTTGGTGCTAAAATATTAAAAGTTTTGAATAAAAATGAGTTGAAACTTTCTCGAGAGCCAAACCAAAGTAGTCAATTTCCAATGAAATTCCATAAAAGTACCTCAGTGTAGTTATCTCAGTTTTCAGCTATTTATTAATAAATCAATAAAATATAAAA